TGCCTTGTTTATAATGGGTTTTAATGTTTTTGTCTCATCGCTCTGACCGGACAGGGCATCAACAGTATGGTAAGGGCCGTAACATTTCCGTCTCATGCTTGAGGTATTCGGCCAATCACAACACACTGGATAGCTGGCCAATCAGAGTACACCATTCTTTTTCAGCCCGATGAGCTTTGTAAAAATCGACGCGTTTCAGAAAGGCGGGGCATAGAGGAGAAACAATAATGTACAGTATGTGGAAAATAATGTGTTTTTTGAACCTTAAACCGCATAAACACATTTCATTACACCAAATACACAAAATAATGTTCTTTTCAGCAGCATCATATGACCCCTTTAAAAACAAAGCACAGTTAGAAAGTGAAATGTCACACCGAAAGAGTTTCAACCTGTAGGTTAAGTGTATGTTATCAGTGAGAAGGTCATGGGAACAGAGTGGCTTGTTCTGAGGCAGTACCCAAACTCACCAGGAGGTGTCGCCTGAGCTGGTGACAATCTGGTTATCATCCACGAAGCGGCAGCAGGACAGATAACCTGTGTGAAGACAGCAGTTAAACAGCAGGAAGGAGAGCGCAGCTCACTCCCAAACACACGGTTTTGTGCAAAGTGTTACCTGTGTGTCCAGCCAGCTCACGGCTGACGCGTACGTTCCCCTCGCGGGTCTTCAGGTTGTAGATGGAGCAAATGTTATCCAAGCCTCCACAGGCCACATAGTTTCCAGACGGTGCATATGCACAAGTCATCACCCACGAGGAGCGCAGCGGAATAGCGTGCACCTACACATCAACACGTCAAATGCCTTTTAGTTTTCACTACTAATGCTGAATCTCTAGGAACTCGAAGCGTATACAGATGACAGAACATACAAACAGGTTTGCTGGCTCTACTTGTATCATTGCAGATTTTAGACATACAGATATATCTAATACAATCAGAAGTCAAGTTAATGATTCTTTGAATTTTTACGTGACAATGCAACAACTGGCCTTAACTATATAATAAATACAAAACAATGTGGTAACATTTCATCCATGCATTATGAAACAAAGCTGATCACAATATTTATATGCATCTTCGAACTGAAATGATCATAATATGAATCATAATAATAACATTAGAGCAAAAAAACACTAAATATGAGACTCATGGTGGAGTCTACAAATCTTTCTTTTATATTAACGGGGGCTTTTGCAAGAGTGCAGAGCTCGGTGAGCTTGCCCTGAACTCAAGTGATTGATGCTTTAGTGATGATAAAGGGAGCGGGAGTATGTAACGCATTTATAATTTGAATACGAGTTTTAATGCTACACACAAGTTTCGAACTTAAAACCTAAAACGGCAACGATTGATTCTTCAGGACAAAAAAAAAATCTGACATCAAATCAAGTGCAAACTAATAGAAATGCCACTTGTTTGTTACGTATAATTGTTTCTTTGATCTTCAAGTATTTTTTTAAAGCAGCAAACTTTTTTTAAATCAGGTCAAGTGAAAATGAAGGCTACATGCTGTTTTAATGTATTATTAGCATCATATTTCTCACACACACACACACACACACACACACAAACACACACAGACTACTACAATTTTGGTATTGTGACAACACTTCCCCCGTTCATACAGTTTAAACAGCATCATAGGACATACCTCATTAAATTAATTGAGAGAATCCAGACAAATACGTTATTTAACATGTCGAGTCACTACATCTAATCATCAGTTCACAAATGTATTTGGCTTTCACATTTACCTTGTTTGTAGTATAGCTGTCCCAGATAATTAGTTTTCCATCCTGGGAAGCACTTACAAGAAGCCTGCAAACACAGAGAGAGGGGGGAAATAAAGAAATCGGGAACAATCAGGGCGATTTTAACTCTTTCTGAACATCTACACTACCGGTCAAAAGTTTAATCAGAACGATTTTAATGTTTTTTACAGGAGTTTCTTCTGTTCATCAAGGCTGCATTTATTTGATCAAAAATACAGGGGAAAAATGTAATATTGTGAAATATTATTATGTAAAATAAAAATTTTCTATTTTAATATACAAACCCAATTCCAAAAAAGTTGGGACACTGTACAAATTGTGAGTAAAAAAGGAATGGAATAATTTACAAATCTCATAAACTTATATTTTATTCACAATAGAATATAGATAACATATCAAATGTTGAAAGTGAGACATTTTGAAATGTCATGCCAAATATTGGCTCATTTTGGATTTCATGAGAGCTACACATTCCAAAAAAGGTGGGACAG